ATATCTGAAGAAATGGAAAGGTAGGTTCTAGGTGATGCAGGATTGCACGAGTGCCGGTCTCTGCACACAATGTTTCTAGTGACACTTCTTCATCACTTAGCTTGGACATGATGCTGGTACAAACATTTTAAGGCTGAATGGCAAATTTGCAATTGAGTATTATTTTTAAGAAAGATTGGAGTTAAGTTTTTAATTTCCTATGTTTTATTTGTGTTCATCGGTGAATAGTTATAGATCATCTTATGTAGAGTTAATTACATTTCCTTGAATTAATCCAGACTTGAGTACCTATGACCTAGTCCTGCATAGTTTTAGGGGAAAGTGCTAGGTAAAGTTCTCAGGTTGTTTGGTCGCTTTTCATTACGAGTAGGAAGACATGTTTCGAGATGGTTGTTTGTTTGTGACCTAGTTTTTAATTCACCTGTCCATAGCATTTTTTGATAAGGACGTGTCCATAGTGTTTCATGCATTCTGTATAGATGATATCAAGTTAGAAGCCATGCAACTTACTCATGATCTTAAATAAGTAGCACAGTCAGACCAAGGAGAGGACTCTCCATCTGCGAATATAGGGTTGGGGTTTGAGTCACCAAGGGTACAAAGTGGGAAGAGTCATTGGTACCTCCTGGGTTGGAATTTATTTTTTTGGAGTAGGGGGGAGGTGGGGGAGTTTTTACCATGTCAAATATGTGTGCTGAATCAAATTTAAGTATGATGCTACACATTTCCTGTCTAACCCTTGGTTGTTCGTTGTTCAAACAATCAACTTAACATAGACTAATGTTAAACTGACGGTTATCTCTATGTTAAAAGACAACCTATTTGATGCTTTAACTTCTATCCTTTTTCACTTCTTGATGGTCAAGTTGATGACCCAAGGGTCTACGGGGAACAACCTCTCTACCCCACAAAGGTTGTAAATTGTGATAAGGGTTCGGTCTGTGTACACCCCACCCTACTTGTGAGATGACGCCGGGTTGTTGATGGTCAAGTTGATCAACATTTGGACTTAAATTGGATATAAGTTAGTCTTCTCTTTGAATTTGGATTTGAAGAAACTACATGTATGTATTACGAGGTGTTTCGCTTTAAACTGCTGTCATATTACATTAACTCTAAGAAACTACATGTATGTATTATGAGTTGTTTCCCTTTTAAATGCTGTAATATCACTCGTATTACATTAACTCTTGGTCAAATGTTGCATTTTCCTTGGATTGTGGAAGAAGGGACAAACGCTATGCAATGAGGGGATATACGTGTACTTAATAATTGTGGATCACTCAGTATCTTTTTTATTCAAATTAGTTTCTTATTCTATCAGCATTATGTTTGGACTTTGATCTAATTCAATTACAGTGATCTATAACTCTCCATCCCTCCATGCACCTTTCTTTCTCTAGGCTGGGCAGGAATCTTTCAGATCCATCACCAGGTCATATTACAGAGGAGCAGCTGGCGCACTTCTGGTTTATGACATCACCAGGTATAATCCTATTGCTGTTTGCATTTGTACACATACAACCTATGATAGCTCACACGTAAACTTGCATTTGCTTCTTTGAATAATCTGGTCCACTATCAGCGGAGAAACTTGTTGTAAGAGAAGATTTTACTTTTTCCCTTTTTATATTTTTTTGGGGGGGCTGTTGCCTTTTCAATTGCCAAGTCCTCTTGCACAGAAGCCCTGCTTTACTGGAGAGGCAAAAATTCTTGAGATGTCAAGCAGGTCTCTGATCGTATGAAGCACTAATTGAGGATTCCTGTAGACATTCCACTTCCCTTCAAGTCATTAATATGCAGAAATAAGATATTTAAAACTTTAACTTAGGATGTGTTTGGTATGGAGGAAAATATTTTCCATTTAGGAAACTTGTTTTCCTAGAGACATGTTATCTAAAAATATTGACCAACCCTCCATTGCAAACACACCAAAAATGTTTTTTTCAATTTTCCATGTTTGGTTGGTTAAAGTTTTGGAAAATTTTCTCTAGGAAACAAATTCTTCAAAAATGAGGAAAATGACTTCCATGATGGAAGTGGCATACCACACTTATTGCATCCTCCTCACCCTCCAACACGCCCCACCCCCATAGTCCCTCATCCCCTACCCCCACCTCTTATAGTATTTTCCTAGATAATATACAAAATGCTTTTGGATAATAAATTTTTGAATATATACCAAATGCAAGAAAATAAGTATGAAACCTCACGTATTTTCTATGGAAAACATCCCCTCCCTACCAAACACACCATCTTGTGGACTAAATGGGCGATACTTTTGTTGTTGCAACATTATTTGATGAACTTTACTTGTTAAGTCAAATCATTCCAATTGGCTGTAGTTTACCGAAAGTGATACAAGTAACTTTAGAATTTTTGGCTGGACATGGAAATTATGAGTAGTTAGCATATTAATTGTATGAACTAATGAAGTGTGTGCATCATTGGTGTATCATGTACATATTTTAGCAGTTTGTAATAAGAGAAGTATGTTCGGGATTTCACATACTGAATATTGGATTGTTGGAGTAAAATTATACTGACAAGTTGAATAAATTGGAAACTGGTAACTTGACAGGAATATTTTCCATCAGATTAGTTAAGTCAGTGTGATGATTCTAGCAGAGCACTAGCTCAGTTGTATCAGTACCTATATGATCATATTTACACATCTTGCGGAATGATTGTCTCCAATGGTTCTAGTATTTAATTCTGATATTCATTTCTCGTATGATTTTTCATCAGCATTTTGTTAAAGCTAGTAATTGTTCTGTTGTCTAGGAGAGAGACATTTAATCACCTAGCCAGCTGGCTTGAAGATGCTAGGCAGCATGCAAATCCAAATATGACTATAATGCTGATAGGAAATAAGAGTGATCTGTCTCATCGAAGAGCTGTCAGTAAAGAGGAGGGAGAACAATTTGCAAAAGAAAATGGACTTTTGTTTCTTGAGGCGTCTGCTAGAACTGCTCAAAGTGTTGAGGAGGTATACATATTAGCCGGTGCCCATGGCATCTCTTATATACTATGTCGCTTTTATCAAATTCCATTGAAGCTAATTTCTTAAACTAATGCAATGAATTCACAGGCCTTTATACAGACTGCTGCCAAGATACTTCAAAAGATCCAAGAAGGTGTTTTTGATGTCTCCAACGAGGTAAACAAATAGTTTTCCGCGTAAATGTATGACGAGGCATTTTCATCATTGCTAATTGTACTGCTTTCATGAGCATCTCGTTTTAGAATCTGTGTGAGTAACTAAAATAGGATAAGATCTTTTGTTTGCAAGCTCTGGATATGGGCAACTTAGATGGGTGAAATCGTTGTTTAGTTGGTTGTTAACTTCCTATAAATGGAAGGGTAAGTTTTAGTGGGCCTGATATTTTGGGTGTCCCAACCAAGGAGTTGTTTCCGATCTGTACACAGTTATCCTTTTTTTATCCCCTTGGGATGAACGTTATCATTGATACATTTTCTAACATACCTCACATGCTACTGTTGCAGTCATCTGGAATCAAGGTTGGTTATGGGCGTACGCAAGGTCCAGCTGGTCCAAGGGATGGAGCGGTTGCCCAAAGAGGTGGATGTTGCAGCTAGTGTACAATAGAGGTCCTAATTGTAATGATACTCATAAACTTGCTTTGGTCCTCACTCAACTAAGTTACTAGACTTGTACAGCTCAAATTCAGTTGACTCAATTTACTCATATTATTCAGAGTAAAATAGGTTCTTATGGAGCTGTTAATTCCAGTACATGTGATGTTTGAGTTACATTCAATGTTAATATAGTACATGGATTGAGTTGAGCTCCGTTTGTTTTGATAAGAGCCTTTTGTAGGATCCTATCTCCATTTCACATTGCTTTTAAATTGTTGTCAAGTTCTCTTCTACAAATTTATCATTCGTAGAGTTAAGATTACTGTTACCAAACACCAGTAGATTAAATGCAGAATCTAATGATCTTTGCTATTTATTACTCATCATATCTGAGAGGAGGCAGGTTTTTCTTCCAAGCCCTGAAAATTGGCGGTGATAGGGCTTATATTGTTGTTGTTCCGTTGATATTAGTATTATTAATATGGTTATTTCAAAAGGATGGTAGAAATAGAGTTAATACCGCCTGGTAGTCTTGACAACTCGCCACCAACAATCCCTTTTTATTGTTTAATTTTGACCCTCCGATATCATAAAATTTATTGACTCAACTAATTTAAATTTACATCTTAAAAATCACTAAATACGCTCATAAAAAGAAGTTAAACATAGAAATATTTATCCATTTATCTTTTGAAAATGACTTTTTTTTTCGCGAGAGAGTATTAAATGCATGATGCATGTATGTAGAGAGTGATTTATTTTGCTATATATGTTTTCCACTCATTTTTTGTGGTTAACAGCAACAGGGGAAGCACATTCAGAAAATCACTTCATATTGAAGTTGATCAATATGCCTATTTGCGAAGTTCGACCACACAGATGAAAAGGATCAAAGAATAATGAAATTAGTACATACTATCTTTCAAATTGACTACGTCTCTTATGAGTTATTCTTGGAGTCCGATATTTAACTCATCAGAGTTTTATTGATGTCACAGCAGTTAGGCAAATCATAAATCCTTGGCTGCAGAGTGCAGCTGCCACTGCCAGGCAAGCATACAGTAATTACTTTTGCCAATTCCCAACACCTACCTATCTGTGGTCCGTCGCTTATTTTAATCATCAAATCCAAAAACTTGTAATCACCATTAACATTCATCATCTGGGAAATTAACCATGGCATGTCATAATCGTTTAGTATTATCTGTTTTCGATTTATCCTAATTAATTTGAATCTAAGCATTTTGGCACGTGGAATGGAATTCACCCAATTTATGATAAATTATATTTTTGTGTAGTAGAGATCGAAAACAACATCTCTACTTAGAGTTAAATCGGCATCCCACACACTCAACGTATGAACTTACACCGGGTTTGTTTGTTTGTTGTAGTAGTAGAGATCAGCCAAATGCAAAGCTTTTACCATAAAATCCAAATAATCTGCCGATACTTGAAGAACAAAACGCATGCAAGGAAATTAATGGATGCTAAAACGAATGATAACTACTAATCGTAATACCTAGCGGAACCTACTGATGAGAATCCATTAGGCAGGTAATCAGCTCTGGTGACAGTTTTCAGATGGAGAGATTTGGGATTTTGGGCACAAATTTTCAATGGAGTCGGAGAGACCTGCATAAACATGTAATTCCCAGCAAAAAGATCCCCAAAATGTGACTGGCTTTCCTTCAACCTCTTCAAAATTTTATCCAGTGCGGCCACGATTAATCTAGATTTTCTCCTTAAGAATTTCTTCAAGCTGGGTACCTTAATCCTCCTCAATCGCTTCCTCAGATGCACTTTTCTGAACTTGATGTTCCAGAACGAAGACGGCTTTCTCCTAAGCTTCCCAATCACCTTTTCTCTCAGGTGTATTAAATCAATATCTTCATCTTCGAAGTAGCTGCTATCTTGTTTGAGTTTCTGGTAGGGAATTCGATTGACAGCGGTGTATGCCATTTCCGAAACAGAGCTGAAACAAACAGAGTAGTGACAAGGTTAGAAGAAAGTGTCAACTCATTCTCTTTAATAACAAGTTATAATATACTCGCATATTTAACTAGAAATCTCGAATTTAAACCTGAGAGTTGAGCTTCTTCCGATATAGATTGTGAGTGTGTTCCTAACGCGCGACCTTACGTTTTCTTCCGCTTGCTCTGCAGTACGAGCCTCATACAGAGCCGCGCTCCTTTAATATGATGAGAAGATGAGGGGCCGGCGAGTATGATGCGATTATATGAAGAAAAATGTTAACTAGTAAAAAGAAATTATTTATGCTGTCAATGTATATCGTACCAAAAATGTAGTGATACAGCTTGTGGGGATTGTCTTTGTCATTGAGAAAATATATGGTGTGTGTTTGTCATTAACGCACAACTACATTGTGGGGTTGTAGGTATGCAGTTTGTTGCGTGCATTAAATGCAATTGAAACACCACCTAAAACGGAGCTTGTGGATAAGTAAGTGGCACTTGAAGACAATTATTCACGTCACTAAAGAGGCGGAATCAAAATTTGAACGCTTAATAGTAGTGTCTTTTTAATGGGTTAATTAGCACTTGTGGGGCTAAGATTCTTTTATTTGTTTTATAACTATAAATGTATGATTATTCGTCTTTAAAGTCACATTATGGTCGGGTTTGATTGCATCATCCTTCAGAAACGGTGAGTAGTAATCCTTATAATATCAATCATAAAATGTGATGCAAATCACAAACCTATGAAAAGAATCAAGAAAATCCAATCTAATTTCAATTTTGAAAAGAAGTTGTGGGGAAGATATTAAGTAATGGAAGAATTGTTGAAAGGGAAATTTTCTTTCTTAAAATCTAAACCAGAAAAAACAGATGATATACAGTAGTAGTTTGTAGTAGTTGTGGATGTAGTAGAAGTATTTTTGTTCTATGGACCATGCTCCATTTTTCTTGTTACTCACTACCATCATTTAGTGCAAATTTAAATATTTATTGTGCAGTGCACACCCAAAGATAAAATCTATGTACATTATACCTTTCAAAATTTTACTTATAAAATTATACCATCAAATATGTTGTAGTGAATTGTGATGCCCACTCATATAGGGGGACACTTGTAATAAAAGCAAAAGAGTCGATTATTATAAAATTCACCTCGCATTAAGGATACCCGGTGCTATTGTTGTAAGATTAATCATTTTACTGTATTTAATTTCTTGATTATTTTATACTAGCTTTTAGCCTCTAGACGTTGTTGTAGCAACTACACTTTGTTTAGGCATGTGGGGATGTAAATAATTGAGGCGGTACGGAAGGCTAAAGCTATTAAATACTACTATAGTAAAATTCAAAGAGTGCCTACTGATAATTTAAGCGAATAAAATGCGTCAAATTTTTAAAAAGCCTTGTAATATTCTACCTGTTTCGACAACAAAAGAAATTCTACTTGAACAACATCCAATTATTTGTTTTATTTAAGACTTATTGCCAATTTCATTGCTCCTTATCTTTTTATATAATAGTGTCCGACCAACTTGCTCACCAAAGCTATATCCACTTAATAAAATCTAAATATTCTCTTCACTTCATCAACCACTAGACCACCACTCCCTTATAAGCGGATAATTCCACAGAATATATGCTTACCGCTCATAAGCAACATATACCAAATAATCGTGTCCACCAAAACTTAAACAGATAGAAAGAAGAAATCACCTTCTCGCTCTTTCTTATTATATTCTTGTTCCTGAATCATATTTTTCTTCGTTTGTACATGCTCTGGTGGGAAAATAGTCGGTACATATTGACACTGTATGTATTAGGTCTAGTAGCAGCACAAGACTCTTTAAAGGACACTGCACAATAAACAGTTGATTTACAAATAATCTGACTCTAGGGATCTTGAGCTTCTATTGTTGGAAGTAAAGTAATTTGGCAAAAGCAAAACACAAACAAGAACCAAACCATGTACAGAAGGAAATCGCATCGGCACAAGGCCAAAGCCATATCCAACAAATAAAAAAATCAGCTTCATCACCATGTTTCACATCCAAACTGATCAAAAAGCATTGCAGGTTGGAGCAGCAAAAGGAATCAGGGAAATACAAGTAAGCTCAATAGAGCTTTATTCTGGTTTGAATTGAACTTCGACATATTGGGCAATTCTCAAGCGCTCTCCCACACTCACAACATGTCTGCATCAGGAACACGATATTGTTAAGTCACAACAAGGTCTAATTTCCTCAAAACATCTGGCCTGCTCAATGAGAGGGGAAAAAGGTACCTGATGCCCACAGCCGAAGGCCATGTCTTTTGGGTTAGTAAGACAAATGGGGCAAACCTGCACAATGACGGAAAACATTCATTCCAGACAACTCGCACGGTTTATTTGTAAAACCAGCAACAGAAGATCAAAAGAAACTGAATTGCAGCAGTATATAGCAAATGTGACTTTTATGGTTTACCTGATTGTCATATGTAGAACTGGGAGCAGTGTAGGGAGAACTTGGAGCAGATGGAGCAGTGTCAACTGGGCGAGCACTGTCATAATAAGAACTTGAAGTCGGCTGAAAATGTGGTGCTGCATCTGCAGGGCTTCCATAACCGTAATACGAGCTTGCAGGCTGCTGAAAACTCGGTGCACGTGAGGTCTTTGAGCCACCGACAGAACTTGCCCCATACATAGGAGGAGGAAGAGCTACCCTATTGGGAGATTTTCCACTTTGTCCACTGCAATTAAGAAATTAGAAGATGTCATCACCTATAACTTGACAGGGGAGGTCAGGAGAGACGTATAGCAGAATGAAAACAAAGAAATACATGAACAAATAGGCAGAGTGAAATCTGACCCCAGTAAGTTAAGTTCCATCGTCGCTTTGTATTGTGGAGGAATTTCCATCAATGCTGAAAGCGCAAACTCTGTCTCCTTTCGAGATTGAGGCACATTTTTGGCCATTATCTCCGTGAAATTGACGAACTAGCAAAAGAAATTAGCAATTAAACCACATAAAAGGAAAATGTTCCTAGACAAGCAATAAGAGACGCCACAATTTAGACCACCAGCACCAACCTGGAAATTATCAAAGTCCCTAGCAGGAATATTATCATCAAATTCCTTCATCATATCCCAGGGCCCATCACCAACCCCAACCAGTATAATTGACAAGGGAAACTTGCTGCACGAAATAAGACAATGCACTCTGGAATTTGAGCATAAGTATGAAAAAGCAGCATGTAACAGAACTAATAGATTTTATAAATACGAATGCCAGTCAGCGCAAGGAAACTAGAGGCAAGTACCTTGCTTGTACGATTGCATCCACCGTTTTCTGCTCCTGCGGACTTAATTGTCCACGGCCAGTATCAACACTTCTAGTTACCTGAACAGATATAGAAATGATAGTTATAATATACAGTTCTAATACACTCAAATATGACCAGCAACAAGGAAATCCAACTAACTCATGCACTATGCAACTAAAGTTAAGTTAATCTGTGCCAGTGTGCTATTTGTTATTGTTCTTGTCTTGAATTTGGACAGAGATGTAGATTGATAAAACATATTACCTGCCCATCTGCAATGATTAATAGAACATGGTACTGGCCTCCACTCTGCTCAACTATTGTCATGGCCATTTCAATGACCGGGGCGAATGATGTTGGTCCTGCAGCAAAATGAGAAGGTATCTAAGTAAACTCAATCAATTACTGAGTCTAACGCAGTAGAATTGGCTGTAGTAGAATTTAAACCTGCAAGCTTCAGCTGGGGGACAATTTCTCTGTAACGTGACAGAACTTCCTCGAAACCATTACAAAATCTTTCATCGGGAAAGAAATTGAATACATCTTGATCATGAGTTGATGCTGTCAAAAAATTATCCACATGGAACAAAATATTAATCTCGTACTGAGCATATCCGAAAGAAAAGTTCTATGGATTAAAAAGAGAAGGCGCATAGAGTTACCATCTCCGAATCCAAAACAAGGAATCAAGTTATCCTCATCAAATGCCGCTAAGGTTTTTCCAATTATGGAAATGGCTTGCTCATATGGGTTCAGATTCTGCCCAATGTGATGTAGGCTCCGATTACCAAAAGACCTCTTACCTAAAGAGCATATGCCCACTTTAGACTATTGAAAAATATAGCATGCAACTAATCAGAGAGGCAGGAAACAGAAGAACAGCGCTTAACCTGTCCATTCATTGCTCTTGGTGAAATCAATACCCACAATTAGATTCGAAGACTCCAAGCCAGCTCGTGCAAGGGCTTCAGTCACCTGATTAAAAATAAATTTGCATTTTTGTCATACATAGTTTTCATCAAAAAAAATTATCATATATAAAAGGTGAAAAAGCATGAGCCAATGTCCTTAAAAAGGGGTCACTAAAATTTAAAAATTCTATGATTCTTACAGCGTTCACTTTTCTTGATCTGTTAAATAACAATCTGATATTTTTTTGATAACCGAGAAATCCGCCTGTGATCCACCGGCCTTTGGACCAATCACAGCCTTCTAAACTCGGTGGATAATGGGCCCGCCCCTCTACCCTTCTCGCTTTGCATGGTGTGGGGCTTGAACCTGCGACCTAAGTCACAAATCCTCCACCTTTTGCCACTCGAGCTAGGCCTTGGGGGCATAAGTATCTGATATTAAGATCTACAATAATCAAAATTACACCTCTATGGAAGTAGGACAGATAAAAAGAGCAAAGCTTTTCAGAGGAAGCATTGGATCAATCATAGCCTTCTAAACTCGGTGGATAATGGGCCCGCCCCTCTACCCTTCTCGCTTTGCATGGTGTGGGGCTTGAACCTGCGACCTAAGTCACAAATCCTCCACCTTTTGCCACTCGAGCTAGGCCTTGGGGGCATAAGTATCTGATATTAAGATCTACAATAATCAAAATTACACCTCTATGGAAGTAGGACAGATAAAAAGAGCAAAGCTTTTCAGAGGAAGCATCTTCCTGCAGTTATCTGGTCCATCATCATTCACCCCCTTTCCCCTTCTATTTCGATATGCAATCTTATTTCCAGCATCCCCTTGAAAATAGTGTCTATGAAGTTTTAGTGCTTGCACACACGTAGAAATTTATGATAATAAAAACTCCATGTATCCCATATTTGTAACCCTACTCCTAGATAGCTTTTCTTGATTTAGTTGTCAGACGCAACTTAATGGGTGAATGCAACTGCATTCAGCATAATATCCAGCGTAATCCCACAAGTGGGTCTAGATAGGGTAGAGTGTACGTTAACCCTACTCTACAACAGGCTATTTCCTTAAGACCCTCAATTCAAGTAGCACATTTCAAAGCAGTTTCAAAATAGGAATATGGTAATAAAAGCAGTAGCTAGGGAAAACATAATATGATAACTGAAGAAATGAAAACAACCCGCGCTAGAAGTACCA